TGAATTATTAAATTAGGCAGTTTTCAGGGCGTGACACCCCGACTCCGTCCCCTACGCCATTCCTCCCAGCGAGCTCCTCCCCCACGCCTGGCCGGCGATCTCCTCCCCTGCACAACCCGTGGCCTCCCGGCGAGCCCCTCTCCTGCAGCCTGCCGGCCGTGACCTCTCGACGAGCTCATTCCCCACCGCCGCCGCCCACAACGAGAAGATCTCGCCGGCCTACTACCACCACCGTGTTTCCCTCTCCAATCTGCCACCACCGTCGTCGTGCCGATGCCCCCTCACCCGCTGCCGCCACCCACGGGGATAGGATCTCGCCAAGGCCGTGTGTAGGGAGAGGAGCTTGTCAGCTTGCCTCCATCGCCGCGTTTCCCCCTCCAATCCGCCACCACCGTCGTCGGCCGATGCCCCCCTCCCTCACCACCGCTGCCCACGAGGAGAGGATGTCGCTGAGAGGTTGCGCGCAAGGAGAGAAGCTCATCGGCCTGTCGGACATGGGGGGAGGGGCTCGCTGGGAAGCCACGCGCTAGGAGGACGAGTCGGCCGGCCGCGCGCTGGGAAGGGAGTTCGCCAGTCGACGTACCACCCCGACCAAGCAGCTCCAGCGAGCTCAGGCATGGTGGTGAGAGGAAGAAGAAGACCTAATGTTTGTGACATGTGGGGCCCGCTTGTAAGCGGGACTAGTTATTTCAAAAGCCACAACTGTTGAACCAAACGAGCTTTTTCAAAAGCCACAGCACATATTGTACAACTACTTTTCACAAAGCCACAGCCCACAGCTACTTTTTCAAAAGCCATAGGTCAACCAAACACACCCGTAGTTAGACCAAATCGGATATGGACTAAATAGATCAAGGAATAGAAGACCCTAAACATGCCTCATCAGCTAAACATGCCTCCTTGTCACTGCTGCCACATCCACTGCCGCGGCCCCCTTCTTCTCCATCAGTGTCAGCTTGTTCTGCAAATACACTACCGACGAATTAAGGGAATCCACCTTCCACTCCACCTCAGGAATCCATGCCTCTACCGTCGCCTTGAAGGAGAGAAGATCTGATATGCTCCTTTGCTCCGCCTCCACTCTCTGTGCCGCTTCCTCCACCATTTTCTTCAAGAAGAGGTCCAACTTCTCCTCGTTGGCCATGATTTTGAGCGCTTGTTCTGTGGCATACCTAGGTTTCTCCAGATCGATTCCTACGCTTCGTCACCTCCTCCGAATTCAGCGAACCGAGCAAGGCTAGTTGCCTTTTCGCGGAGACAATCCGAAGGATGCTCCAATCCCCGCCACGGAAAAAAAATTTACCGCCAAATCAAGATATTCCCAGGTGAAACGAAGCTCTGATATCAGATTGATAGCTAACTAATGATTTGGACCAAGATCTAGAAGAACAACAAGATTTCAGCACGCCAATCCAACCGGATTGCGCCTCCACCGCCAATCGCCGCCAATATCATTCAAGCCAAAGCATATGGTTCTTACAAGGTGATATTTAACACGTCTCTCTCTCCAACTATCATGCCAACTACTACACCTATTACACGGCCCATTCCGGCCAACCAATTCGAACATTCGGATGCTTGGCCCGTTTAGACTTTCTAGCCCTCTCTGCTTGCCCCTGTTCCACATCCAGCGCTTTGTCATTGCTAACACTAACCTGGCCTAGGCCAGACTAGAAAGGAATAAGTTCACTTGGTGACCCTCAAAAGTGATTGAAATCTAATCCATGACCCTAAACCACAAAACCGGATATCTTGACCCCCCCACTATGAAAACCGGTGCAATTTGACTCCCTCGGCGGTTTTGGAGGGCGATTTCGCTGACGTGGTGCTGACGTGGCGTTATTGACCTAGTCTATGTGCTGACGTGGTGCTTAGGTGGCATTTTAATTAAAAAGTTATACGTTCGACCCATTTTTCATTCACACACAATTGTGGGGCCCACTCCTGCCATCTTCCCCATTTCTTCTTCCTCTCCTCCCTTCTCTCTTTCTTTCCCCCTCTCCCCTACGGCCGTCCACGGGGAGCGAGCGGCAGCGGCGGCGGCAGAAGCTAGCTAGAGTGGCGGCAGGCTGGAGTCCATGTCGCGCCGCTCGCCGTTCCTCTCGCACCACCACCACCCGCACCACCCGGCGGCCGGCATCGAGACGTCGTCGGCGGCCGAGCGGCGCCGGCGGCATGCCGCGGGCGGGAGAAGCAAGCCGCGGCGGCGACTTTGAAACCGCGCGACGAACGGCTAGGCGGAACCATTCGAGGAGAGGGAGGAGGGAGAGCACACGGCCGAGGAGGTCGCCTCACGCCGTCATCCCCCCTACGCGGCTGTCCATCGAGAGAGGCCCATCATCCGGTCGCAGCCACCGCCGCTTCCCCTCGTCCTCCCTCTGCCACGAGCCGCCGCCGCACTCGCCCGCCCGCCCTCCCGCCGCCTCCGGCTCCCCACGTCCTCCCACTACCACAAGCCACCGCTACCCGCCGGCGGTTCCCGCCTGCCGGCCCCACTGCCACGAGCCGCCGCCCTCACCCGCCCACCCTCCCGCCGCCGCCGCCGGCTCCCACCCGCCGGTTATGGCGTCGAAGACCTGGTCAATGGCGGCCAAGCTCACCATACCCCGCCGCATGTGCGTCCCACCGCCGCCACTGTCGTCTCCTCCGTCTTCGCCGCGGTGGAGCTCAGCCCGGGCGCCGCCGCCGCGCTTCCGCTGCTCGCCGCCATCTCCACCCACCGCGGGAGAGAGAGAAATGGAGGGAGCGGCGATGAGAGAGAAGGAACTGAGGGAGGGGAGAGAGAAGGGACATGTGGGTCCCATAGTCTATTTTTGGTGTCAATGACAAATGGGTCCCATACATTTTTTTAATTCTAAATACCACCTAAACGCCATGTGTAAAGGAGACCCGGTCAATACCGCCACGTCAGCGCCACGTCAGCGAAACCGCCCTCCAAAACCGCCGAGGGAGTCAAATTGCACCGGTTTTCATAGTTTGGGGTCAAGATATCCGGTTTTGTGGTTTAGGGCCACGGATTAGATTTCAATCACTTTTGAGGGTCACCAAGTGAACTTATTCCGACTAGAAATGGGCAGGGGATATGGGCCGGCCTGGGGATGGAAGTGGGCTGGCTCAAGAAAGAGGAAAAGGAGTAGCCCACAGGAACAGGGCGTTTTGTATTTTTGTGGGAATTCGGATTTTGGGATTTTGAAGGAGATTTGAATTGGATTGGACTTTGGATTCCAAATTTGTAAAGAGACTGTGGAGTTAATAATAGATTTAGGAATTTTCTTCTAGATAGGAATTCACGTGATCGGATTTTGAGATCTTCAATGGCACAACCCAAAATTCAAATAAGAACCAAAGTATTGAAAATAAACTGGTATTTAAAATAGGTTTTAAACGGGAGCAAAAATTGGGGTGTTACATTAATCCGGTAAGTATGAAATACTTCATATGGATGAATCAATTTTGCACTAGCAATTAAATAATTATTAAAATTTTTCATTCACTATTTAACATATGTTTGTCTATTCATCTTATTGAAAAAGTTATGTAATTATTTTTTTTGCTTTCAAAAGTATTTTGAGTATGACTTGTTTTTTTTTTAAGAATAATTCAATATCATTTTAAAAACGGAGGGAGAACAAGTTAAAATGGAGCAGTCCTTGCTTCACTCGTGCTCATTTGTACGTTCTAAAAGATTACATAGATATTTTACCGGAATTAGTTCCCTTGCTGTGTGTTAACAGATAAAAAAATTGGCCGCTCCAAACATATGGGGATAAATAAAATAGCTTGTATTTACGAGCGGGTAATGCATGCATGCATATACAAATTATACATCTTTCTGGAGCATTCATATATATACAATTTAGATACACGATAAAACTCTCATTATTAATACAACTAGCATGGTGACCCGCGCAGGTTACGCTGCTAACATCATTATATTCTCTCTCTTATAATAGCATATATGTTTTCTCAATGTATTATTAAATATATTAAAATAGCAACATAATTTTAAATTTTGTACTAAATTTATGAAACTACTAATGTGTAATATTCATATTGTATTTTATATACGTTTTAATTATTAATTATTTTTAATATCAAATTTTAGTTATTTGTAAATTATATTCCTATATATATATAGACTCTACACTCATCTTTCAATATTTTTTGAATTCCGAATTTTCGTTATCTGACTTTAGGCTCTTCTTCCAATATTATTTATTTTAATTATAAATTTTTATTATTTCTAATTGTATTTTTATGTGGACTCTAAATTCATCTTTTAATATTCTTTATTTTTTAATTTTGAATTTCAGTTACTTCTAAATTGTATTCCTATATTGACTTTAGACTCTTCTTCCCTTTTTTTAATTTTTAATTTTAGTTATTTGTAAATTGTATTTTTATACGAAATCTAAACTCTACTTTTAATTTTATTATGTTTATTCCGAATTTTAGTTAGTTTTAAATTCCTATATGAACTATATACTCTACTTCTAATATTCCTTATTTTTAATTTCGATTTACTATTATTTCTTAATTGTATTTATATATTGACTCTATACTCTACTTCTAATATTCCTTATTTTTAATTCCGAATTTTAACTATTTCTAAATTGTATTTCTATATGGACTCTATTTTTCTTCTTCTCCGATTAATATGAGAATTTCTAGGCCGTGAAAGCGAACGTGGAGGCTCCTTTTTCTATTTCTTTAAAAAGTTAATATATATTAATCTGGAAGGGACCTAGCTTGCACCTTTTAGCTAGTGCACTTCAATTTTGAGAACCTGAAAAGGGAAAAATAATTGCAAAAGCGCAATTATCAAACGTGTAAAGAGAATATCTTTTCCCGCAACAAGTACCCGTATAGCTTAGTACAATTCAATTTTTCTCTTTTTTTTTTCCTGGAACACTATATATAGAGTAATTTTATCATCCTTGAAAATGTATCGTAAGGTATCACACTTTCTAGTATAAAATTTGGTATCTCCATATATCAGGTAGCAAGTAACTTGAGGTAAAATAAAATTAGTATAAAATTTAGATATCTCAAGGTACATTTTCAAGGATTACAAAATTTTTCTTATATATAACTAAATTGTGTGAAAATCAAAGAGATTGTATGAGGCGCATGCAGCAGCATTATTTTGCCGCGTATGATGCTTGTGAGTATAAATAAGCTTAACATTTTATGAGGCGTAGTATGATGCTTGTGCTTGGGTGCAGGCGGAGCCGGCGTTCCCCTGGGAAGATCCATTTCCCCGCCTGGGAAATGCTTTTTCTTGTAGTGATATTATTGACGCTCTACATAATAATCTCCATTTTCGAAAGGATGGACGTAGCCCGATCCTGGACAACCTTCCAGGCTTCCCGGACGTGGCGCTCCTCGGTGAGCGTGCTGCCGACGGCGCACCTGAGCATGTACACGCCGCCGACATTGGCGGAGCTCATGTACGGTCCCGAGCTGGCCGCGTTCACCTCCTCGAGGAGCCGCCTGTTGAGCTCGTTCGCCGTCTTCTTGTTGGGTGACCGGAGCCGGAAGCACACCAGCGCGAACCGCCTCGGCGTCACCACCTCGAACCTCGCGTCGGCCCTGACCATGCCCTCGAACGCGGCGGCCATGCCGACGTGGGACCGGATGTGCTCGCGCAGGCCCTCCACGCCGTAGCATCGGAGCACCAGCCACAGCTTGAGCGCGCGGAACCGCCGCGTCAGCGTGATGCCCCAGTCCTTGTAGTCCACGACGCCCTCGCCGCCGTCCGCCGCCGCCGTCTCCGCCGCGGCGTCCTTGAGGATGTACTCCTGGTCCGTGCCCAGCGCCGCCACCAGCGCCGACGGCGTCCTCACCCACATGACGCAGCAGTCGTTGTTCGCCAGCAGCCACTTGTGGGCGTTCATGCTGAACGAGTCCACGGCCTCGACGCCGCCGGCGACCGCGCCGCGGAGCTCCGGGCACACCATCGCCGACCCCGCGTACGCCGCGTCGACGTGCACCCAGGCGCCGTGCGGCGCCGCGGCGGCGCAGAGCTCGCCGACGGGGTCCACGGCGGTGGTCTGGGTGGTCCCGACCGTGGCGCACACGAACAGCGGGACCAGGCCGGCGTCGGCGTCGCGCCGCATGGCGGCCCGCAGCGCCGCCGGAGAGAGCGCGAACGCGTCGTCCCGGTAGGTCGGTATCTCGCGGCAATGCTCGCGCCGGATGCCGGCAATGCGCGCGGCCTTGCAGAACGCGAAGTGGGTCTGGTCGGAGCAGTAGACGACGAGGTCGCCGATCCTCCCCTCGCCGATCGCCGCCAGCTTGCGGTCCCTAGCGGCGACGAGGGCGCAGAGGATGGCCTCGCAGGTGGTCCCGAGGATGGAGCCGCCCCCGCCTCCGGCGAACAGCAGCCGCTCCGGCAGGTGGAGCGCCTTGCCGAGCCAGTCCACGACCACCATCTCCAGCTCGGTGGCGGCAGGCGAGGCGGCCCACGTGAAGGGAACGACGTTGATGCCGGCGGCGAGCGCCTCGCCGAGGGCGCCGGCGGTGCTGCTCGACGCCGGGAAGTGCGCGAAGTGGCGGGGGCTCTGCCAGTGCGTCAGCCCCGGCAGGATGACGTCACGGACGTCCTGCATCGCCGCGGCGAACGCGTCGGGCTCCCGGCGGGACGGCGGCTCCGCCGGGAGGCGGTGGCGGAGGAAGCCAGGGCTGACGGTGGGGTGCACGGGGTATTCCCCCATGCCGGCGTAGTAGTCGGCGATAAGGTCGACAACCAGACGACCCTGACGCCGGAACTCGTCGGCGTCGAGCAGCCGCGCGCAATGCTGTGTCTTCACCGGCGTATCAGAGGCGGCGATGGCGCCATTGTTGCCATTCGTGGCGTGGCAGTGCGAGGGTGCAGGTGCCATGTGTGAGAACGATTGATCGATCGATTAACCCCGCGCTTAGATAGCTAGGTTAACGGATAATCAGCCGCTATTGCAGATGGTAATTAAGTTGCTAGCGCCAGTGATCTGATCTGATATGATATGAAGCCATTCCAGCATCTATTTATACAGGGTGGAGTACGTAGATGCCTCTCTCTCGACCACGTGCCGATCGATTCAAACGTTGGAATATTTGGAACGGCAGAAACAAAAGAGTCTTCCATGGTGTGACTACTGACTAATCGAACATAAAACAAACAAATGTGCAATTAATCATCTCTCTTTTTGACCAGACGAAACGTTTAGCATATGGAAGGTTCCTAGCTAATTGAGGGGTTTAGCGAGAATATCTCTTAGAGAGAATCATTGGACTGGCGGTAAGCAGGGCTTGCCTCTATGGAAATGTATAGAACTCAATCTTCATTTTTCGTACAGCCACTTGGCAACTTGTTTTATTTGCTCCTTCTCAGACAAATATAATCTCAACCGCCATAGCTGGTCTTTCCAAAGATCGAGTACAATTATTTCTGGAAAATTAAGCTGGCTATCGGTCGAAGACAAAAGAAAAACAAAAATCCAACAGTACTTATATTATAGCGACCGGTGACCATGCATACAATTATGAAATTTTATGACAATCGATAGAGAGAGAGAGAGAGAGAGAGAGAGAGAGTTCTCAAAAAAAAAGATAGAGAGAGCGAGAGAGAATGTGTCTGCTCTATCAGACCGATCGATCAAGTACGCAACGCAAGTAGATGATCGATCTGTTTCTACGAAATTCAGGCATCGTCGAGAGAGCTAGCGTACGATCACAAACGAGCTTGTCAGCTAGAAATTCAAATGCAGGCAAAGATGCCGGCCTGGCCTGCTACTACACGTACTACTGCTGAGATATGAACGGTCAATGTTAATATGCGAATGCGGTAGGTGAACAAGTTTCAGGCATCCTTTCTTGCCGTCCGGGCCGCTTTATTTTCACGGACGCCGTGCAAGCATGAAAGAGCATCCATATCCCAGCTCGTCTCAAAATTCGAACACCTTAGTGATTGTACAAACGACAATATGACGAAGTTCAGGTACAGTAAACAACCTGACTGGCTTTTTTTTACATTTTAGATCATTTCAAAAACTTATTTTACTCATCCTTTGAAAAACTTATTAGGAAAATATACCATTTTCTCTTGGTGCCATGGTTCAATATGACAGCGCCAGTGACATTTACGTTGTCCTCCTTGTCCCTCATGGAAGTCACTAATACGAAGAAGGGAATGACATCAATGTCATTGGCGTTGAGGACAAATTTGTTAAAAAGATATTTACAAATAGATCCTTGGCACCAATAACACTAACACCAAGAACCTATTTGTTTTAAATAAGTCATTTTCAGAATTTTTTTTGCAAATAGGACCACGACCTCAATGATAATGGCATTGTCCCCCCTTCACATCAGTGACTTAGCTTCCATGGTGGGCAAGGGGATAGCGCCAATGTCACTAGCGCCATCATGTTGGACTACAACACTAATGACGTTGGCACCGAGAAAAGGGTCCATTCTTAGAACAAGCTTTTTTGAGGGTCTATTTGTAAAATAAGTTTTTAAAAAGGTCTAAAATGTAAAAATGTTGGCCAACCTAGCAAGATAACTTGGAAGTTCACAAGCCGTGGCAAATACATGACCTCCTATGCTTACAAAGCTCAATTCCTAGGGTTATCCATTACTGCCCACGAATTCATGATCTGCAAGCTTTGAGCGCCAACGAAATGCAAGTTCTTCGCATTGTTTATAGTGCAAACCATAGCATGGACTTCTGATGGACCAGCGACGAGGGGCTGGCCGCACAACAAACTTTGCCCGTTATGCTCACACACACCGACAAAACATCGTGCCAATTTCTGTCATGTGCAAATACACAAGAAGAATCTAGTCTATGGTTGGGGTTGTAACTTGATTGCAACAGAGCAGCCTGCCGCCAAAGGCTTGGGAGCAAAGCGACACGGTCAGAGAGTGGTGGGAACTGATGACAAACATCCCAAGCGACATGGTCAGGGAGTCTGGAAGAAACGGGACAGGAGAACCTTTTATATATGAATCTCCACATCAGGCCTCATAGCCATGATCAAGGAGGAGGGTTAGGCTTTGGACCCTTGCATGCGGAGGCATAACATCTCTCTAAGGTGATCAACTTACATGTATAGTCCCTATGAAACAATTGTACTTAGGAGATGTAAACTTTTTCTGCTCTACATACAATGAAATTGCCATGGTCTCGTGTCGGCTCGTTATATGACGAAGTTTGAATTCGTGCTTATGATATAGTTAGCTAAGATTGTTTTTCCTTTGCATTCAAAATAAAATAACTAGTTAAGATTACGAAATACAGGGCACTTTATATTATGGGATTCTTCCCATTTCGTCCAATTATGTTGTCATCTCACCAGTTTGTGACATCACAATTTTGTTTGCATGGATCATTTCGGTCTAATTCGCATGGACTAGTCAAGTTACTGTATCAAAATGAGTAATTTGCAACTTATTTATCTATTTGCATCCACCGTGTAACGGTGTAAATTTATATATCGTGGTGCAGTTTGCTCTAAAAATATGAATGTAATTTAAGACAATGCGACAGGTTATTTAAATTAGGGTGAGTAGATTATTTATAACACACATAAGAAACAGAGACAAAAATTCTGTTTTTGTGGGCCTTTGCTCTTGCTGGTGCCATGCATGCAAACATCTACTCCCGTCTATAGTACTGTTAACGCACTTATAAGTAGGGATGCAAAGTGAGGAAGCGGGCTTATCAATAGTTCTATTTAACAAATTTTCTCTTCTACATTTTACTTTATACTTGTAAGCAGTGATGGATCCCGGAAGAAATAGCAGAAGGGTCTGAACAAACTAGAACAAAGCTACAACTCCCTCTTCCATCTATGTATGGCAATTAATTTTGCGGATGCTTCATGGGGCTCCCATATGGTCCTCAAGCCAATACTGAAGGCTCGAGTCCCCATCGTCCCTATGCTGAATCCACCCCTGCTTACAAGTGGAAAACTTTCTAACGTTACCGATGCTTTATATAAAAGAAGATGTCCCATTTTAAAAAGAAAATAGGATCAAACTTACATTGCATAGTTAATTGAATAGCTACCGTAACTCTCCAACAACTAACTACCTAATAGCAAGCGGAAAAAAAAACTACAAAATGGGTTATCTTGGGGTAAGGGATTTCCCACTTGCATCCCTTCATATAAGCCATGTGCAATATCATTAGGACTTAAAGATGTGCACCTATGCCGATGAGTGAGGTAAAATAGACCACATTGTAGTGCTAAACTACTAATGCCGATTGTGTACTCCTTTCTTCACCACTTCCCTCACAACCTTCATTATGCAACGGTGGGAAACGTTTTGTTATATATGTTTCATGATCCAAATATTTAGCATGGTGCACATCTTTAAAAACAAAGATTTGTGCCAGCAATGACTAGGCCCCAACCTAATTAAGGGGAGTAAAGGATGTTACGGATAGCCTTAGATACGATGATTTATGATATACTTATGACTTAGCTATCAATGGACTATGCGACTTATTTTGATTTTCTATGCACTTCAAAAACATATGAGATAACATTGTGAACTAGTTATTGTACAGTGCACATGGGTCCTATGTATATTTTATGGAAAAAAAATTTCCCTCGAGGGAATGTCCACTTGTTTCAAGATATTCTTATGTTTCCTGTAAATAATTATAATAAGTATATGATATATTCATATATGATATATCACTCACAAACATTTTGTTTCAATTCAACTACTATAAGTTGTAATAAAAAAACAGAAATAACTATGGGTGTATGCAAACTAGTAAGGCATTAATTTGTAATTAAATAATAGGAGCTGAATTAGACTATGCATGTTTATGGTGTGATTTATCCTATATTAACCTATATTGTTAAATGTTTTTAAAAATTCCTATAATGACATTCAAGAAACGTGACGGTATCACCTCTATCGGTGATATGGGCCCGGGGGTATCAGGTTTAGAGGGAGGAGGCTGCTCCCCGATACCACGTGGCCATCCCCCAAGGGGAGTCAGGCCCAAGGTAGGGCGGCGGCCACTCCTTCCCAAAGACTAGTCGGAGGAGGCTGCCCCCCGATACCACGTGGCCCTCCCTCGAGGGGAGTTAGGCCCGAGGTGGGGTGGCGGCCACTCCTTCCCAGAGACTAGTCGGAGGAGGCTGCCCCCCGATGCCACGTGACCCTCCCCCGAGAGGAATCAGGCCCGAGGTGGGGTGGCGGCCACTTCTTCCCAGAGACTAGATGGAGGAGGCTTACCTCCAATGCCACGTGGCCCTCCCCCGAGGGGGGTCGGGCCCGAGGTAGGGCGGCGGCCACTCCCTGGCCGAGACTAGAGGGAGAACGCCGCCCAGGCGCCACGTGGCTCCCCCCGAGGAAGGATTGGGCCCGAGGTCGGGCGGCGGCCGTCCCCTCCTGTGACTAGGGGTCGGGCTCCGCCGGCCCCCTCTCTAGGTCACCACGTACGGGGGGGTTAGGTGTCCGCCTCCAGGTGCCCACCTATCCGCATTTATGGCGACCCGAGCGGTTGCGCCACGCCGCATTTAATGCGGTGTGCAGTGCACTCAACCAGTCTGTGACCGGTCAACTGACTGATGGGACCCAGGATGTCAGGCGCACTATCGCGTGTGTCAGGCGACGTGCAGCCCGACATATCCCATCAAATAATGATGGTGAGAGGTTCTCATCCTCTTATCCCAGCTGGAGTCGGTCCTCCCGCTCTGGTCAAAGCAAGGCTCACGTTTCCCGGTGTAATAGGAGCCCAGAAGTCTTCACCCATTAAATGGTGACTGATAGGGGCACCCCCCGTGTCAGGCGACAAGATTTGACAGGCCCCATTATCAAGACGACGTGCGCTTGGCTTCCCAAGTCAAGAGACAAGACATGCATTTAATGCAAATATTACAATACTTCTCCACCGGAGCTAGGTTAGGTTGTTGGGCCCATGTGGTAACCCCTTGAGGTATAAAAGGAGGTCTAGGCCTAGTGGTGGAGGGGGGGAGCTTCTGCCCCT